GTGTGTGTGCTCACTGATAGAGCCCCCCTGGGGACAGGTGTGTGTGTGTGTGTTTCTGTGTGTGTGCTCACTGATGGAGCCCACCTGGGGACAGGTGTGTGCGCGTGTGTGCATGTGCGTGTGTGTGCTCACTGATAGAGCCCACCTGGGGACAGGTGTGTGTGTGTGTGTGTGCATGTGTGCATGTGCGTGTGTGCGCTCACTGATGGAGCCCACCTGGGGACAAGTGTGCGCGCGTGTGTGTGTGTGTGTGTGTGTGTTTCTGTGTGTGTGCTCACTGATGGAGCCCACCTGGGGACAGGTGTGTGTGTCTGTGTGTGTGTGTGTGCGCTCACTGATGGAGCCCACCTGGGGACAGGTGTGTGTGCTCGCCGATGGCACTGCCCCCCCCACTTCTCCCTGCCTCACATTGAGGGGCCCTCACACCCTCCGGGGTCCCCTCCCACTCACCGTTTTCCGGATGGCAGCGTTGGAGTGGCTGGCGGCTGTGGAGATGAGCTCCAAGGACTCTGCAGGAGGAAGCGTGGCTCAGGGCGCCAGCGGCTCCACACCCCCTGGACCCGCGAGGCTGTAGACCCGCCCTGCCCTGCCTGTCCCACGGGTGGGGCTGCTCTAGAGGCCTGGCTCGTTGGGAGGCAGGGATGCGGCCCTGCAGACAGACCTGGCTTGCTGGGCCTGGGGGGCTCGAACCTCATTCCATGGGTGCGCCCTGCCCTGTGTTGTGTGCCGGCCATTGTGCTCGGGCCAGGAGTGACCCCGGCCCCCAGCGAGGCCCTCCCTGAGGCCCAGGCACTTAGCGCCTCCCAGGACCCTGTCTCCCCCACACTGTGCACAGCAGGGGCCTCCTCCGTCTCCAAGACCCTCGGTCGCCTCCCAAATGTTCCGGGGCACTTGGAGCTCTCTCCCTCCCAGTCTGTCTGTGTCCCTGTGGCTGTCTCTCCCCACCGCCCAGGACCCGTGGCCTCGGGGCTTGCTCACTCTCCGCATCCCGCCGGTCCGGGGCGTCTGCCGGAAGCCGCTTCAGATAGTCCTTGAGCAGCAGCTCGTAGCGGGGGACCCTCTGCACGGGCTCCAGCATGTGGTGTTGCAGCGTCAGGCTCCCGCACACGTCCTGCTTCTGTGGGACAGAGGGCACCACGTGGGGCAGGGAGCCCCCACCGCCTCCAGGAGCTGCCCGAGGCCTGGAGAGGCGGAGCAGTGGCTGAGGGAAGCCCTGAGTCCTGCCTGGCCTCCTACCCACGGACAGACGCTGTGTGGCTGTGTGGGTGGAACGAGGTGCTCCCAGGCTCCCCCTCTCTTTCCTCAACACAACGCTCCCTCTGGCCCTCAGCACCTCCTCCAGACCAACCACAAGTGTGAGTGCTGTCCTCTGGCTGTCCTGGGCACCTGCACTCCCCCCCCCCAGCCCCCCCCCATGTGGAAAGAAGCTTGGAGGCCGGCACCCTGGGGGGCTGGCAGCACCTGGATTGCAGGAGCACCCCAGCAGTGGGCAGTTGGAGATTGTCCCCCGGGCAGGACAGGGTGCTCATGGCGTGGAGAACCCGCGGACAAACCCCGATGGAGAGACAGTGCGCACACGCGGCTGCCGTCTCCTGCAGAAGTGACAGGGCCGAGGCCGGGCCGGGGCCGAGGCGGAGACGGAGACGGAGACGGAGACATGGGAGCAAAGGCGACCGTGGTCCCGGCCTGGCATGTGGGCCAGAGAATGAAGCACACGGACAACAGGACGTCTGCAGGGGCTGGGGGGCAGCATGGCTGCGCCGCGGGCCGGCGAGCAGGACACGCCGTGCGTACACACAGTGGCTACACAGCTGCTACTTAGTCTAAAGGTTCAAAACTAATGACCCCATGTGTGTGGTTGGAAAGACTGTAAAGTAAACAAGACAAAATGTGAAGTTCCCTATTTTTGCAACCTTCTTGTAAAGATGTGAAATTATTTCAAAATAAAAGTCCCAAAAATTTAGACTATGCTTTGGATGGAACCAAGGGACCTTCCAAAGGCCCCATCCCTGGTTTGTCCACGGGTTCTCAGCTGGGGGGCTCCCTGTGCCCAGGCCTCCAGAACACCCCAGCCTCACCCACGAAGGTGCCACGCCACAGGGCACAGGTGGCCTCTGACGGCCGCAGACTATGCTGCTCTGGGATGGAGCCCCCACCGCGCACCACCCAGGGCCCAGGTCTGTCCAGGGTGTGGGGATGCAGTGTCCAGCCCGGCTGTGACCTGGATCATGTCTGCCTGTGACAACACATTGGTCATCCCACCCCCGAGGCTGCAGACCCAGGACCTGGCCTGCGGGGTGAGCTGCCCCAGCCAGGAGGGCGCCCTCGGCATTGCCCAGGGCCCGGCCACCACAGCCCAGAGTCTAGAGGCGGCGTGGCCTGGCCTTGGCGGGGAGCTGCACCAGATGGAACCCCATGCTGCCTTTTCTTCTCTACTTCCTCAGGATAACCAATCAGATACCAACTGCCCAATGCAAATTAGACAGATTTCAACTTCCTCAACTATAGCTTTACTAGAGGCCCGGTGCACAAAAATTTGTGCACTCGCGGGGGAGGGGGGCCCCTCAGCCTGTCCTGTGCCCTCTCGCAGTCTGGGACCCCTCAGGAGATAATGACCTGCTGGCTTAGGCCTGCTCCCGGGTGGCAGAGGGCACGCCCAATCCCTAGGTGCAGCCCCTGGTCGGGCT